AAAATGTTTTTCCCGGGAAAAAATTAAAAAATCTTTTTTTGCTGGGGTTTTTTTTTTTTTTTAAAAAAGTTTGTCCCCCCTAATAAGGGAACAAACCACGGCCCCTTTTTTTTTTTTAGGGGGGTTTTTCGGTTTTTTTTTTTTTCTTCTTTGCCTCGGCAGGTGCGGGAATATTTTAGCAACTCTGGGCGTGCTAAAATAACCAAACGAGAAGACCATCCGGCGAGGCGGACCCGTTCGGTCTGCCGCAGTGCGGGAAAGAGCTTCGTACCGCCTCGGCCACCTGAGGCCACCAGCAGATCCACACGGGGAGCGGCCGTACGCTTGCCAGCACTGCGGGAAGTCTTCAGCCAGTCGGGTCACCTCAAATGCGCACGAGCAGATCCACAACGGGAGCGAGCGGACACGCGAGCACAGCAGCCACGCAGTCAGCAGCAGCAGCCAGAGCACCGGTGACAGTAGCTAAGAACAGACCTGCAACACTTTAACCTCTCGAAAACAAAGTATTTATTCCTCTTTTTTATATAATATATATATAAATTGTTTCCTTATTAGTTTTTCTTACATTTCATTACCTTTTGCTCTTTTGCATCGTATTATTGTGGGCAGGTGGTCCGACTGATTTGCCTTATGCAAGGGTTCTGTGGTGTGTTTGTGTACTGGTGGTGCGTTCTTGATGGGCTGTAATAATCTTTGGACTGGCCTGACTGTATGAGTGTAGAGTCTGGTCCAGTGCCGGTACTTTGTTGTTGGAGTTAACTTACTGACACAAAGCACAAATACTGCTTCTGTTCTTTATTATCTGAATCCGACCAGCAGCTTCTGAAGAACAGGACCCGCTCCACTGACCGCGTTATCTGCGTGTTTCCTACAGATTCATTCTGTTCTGTTTCCTCGGTTACGCTGTTTGTGTTTGTGTCGCGGTCAGCAGTTGCTAATTGACCCTTCATAAGCCCCGCCCCCTTTTGCTCTGCGCTCCAATCACAGTCGAGCCAGCCTCGTCCAGCTTCCTCCTGTCCTGTACGTAGATAAACTAATAAACTATATGCTAAAATAATCTGTTGGAAAGACAAACACATTTTGAAGATGGTTAAAAGAAGAAATAAATATTTATCTTAATATTAGTGAAACGTAACGAGCCGTCGCACATCAGTCTAACTTCAGATGTCTGTAAATCTTTTATCTCTGATGCGTCGAAGTGCAGGAGAGGAGGAAGTCGACGAGGCTAGCTCGACTGTGATTGGAGCGCAGAGCGCGAAGGGGGCGGGGCTGAAGAAGGGTCCGTTACAGTCCGACTGATTGTTGAGTTTCAGTTTTATTTGTGAATCAATAAATCGTAACAGATTAACTCAGGACACTTTTTAAACAGAAACTCTTTAACATTTATTTTAATTCAGAAACATTTTGATTTTATAGTTTAAATAAAATATCAGCTGATACAAACGTAAATAATCAATCTTGATATTGATCATTTCCACTCTGACTAGTTTTCTTCTCAAACACCGACTCGTCTGCTGATCGATCGCATTGATCACCTCTGACAGTAACACGCCGACAAACCACCAACAGATCAATTTAACTACAGCTCCGTAAATCATTCTGTTATTGATTCTGTATCAGATCGATCTGTTTACATGTCTGATGATAATATTCCACTAATGTTCCTGTTTACACGCAGCTGTACGTTCTCTGATTCAGGTAACCCTCAACAACAACAACAACAACAACAACAACAACAACAACAACGATGATAGTCCCATCGGTGGGAAGGCAGCATTATATTTTCACTCGTATCTTCAAACCTGCTGATATCAGGACTTTATAAAGTTTACCAGTCGCTGTGTTTCTGCGTCCTCACAAACAAACAAACAAACAAACAGTCGGCTGGTTGTTTACTGACTGTAAACAGAATGAGGCCTCGTTAGAGATATCCAATCAGAATAAAGTGTTTAGTCTGATCACTTGTGGAATCTTATGTTCGTACTAATATTGATTATTGATAAAGATTATTTACTTTGACAAATAAAACTTGATATCAGTAAGATCAGCTCGTTAACAGCTCAGACTCCGACTGCACGACAAAGTCCGCTAACTCGCTCTGAATGAAACGTGGTTTGTTGTAAAGGCGACAGTAACAGTCGGTGTGCACGTGCTCAGTAGGGACGTTCTGTTCGTCCTGGTCGGAGTCGCAGTGGATCAACTTCCTGTCGTCAGACTGCTGGAAATAAAGCTTTAATTCACTCAGATATAAAAACACTGTACAGCTGCACTCGTTCTTCAGAGGCAGAACCATCAATTAGCAAAATAAAATGACCAAAATCAGCCAAAAGAACATCCAGTGATGGACTGGACCCCCGAAACCTGCTGGACTCAATAAAACCCGACGTTCTCCTCCAAACAGCGAACGTTTGAACTTTAAACGTTTGGTTTTGTTGCATTAAATCCGACCCTACAGAGCGACGCCGGCGTCAAACACGATGCTTCTGGGAAACACCTGTTTACTCTAACTTCACTTTAAGATCAGAAACCAGCTCGGCCTTCAGACCCAGTTGGTGAACCGGGTCCTGGTTCGGATCCTCAGTACGTGACCGCAGTACTTCTGCCAACCGCGAGTCCTCATCGAGCACTCGCTGCCAGTTTACTCGTATTCTGCGTACAGGTGTGGCTGCTCGCAGGCGTACACGCTGTTACTGTATTAAGAATCTGATGCTATAATTTTGATATTTCTTATTGACCAGTATTGATTATCGATCAGGACTCGCCGCAGTGATCTTTTTTTGTTGTTGACGATAATCTGCTGACGACATTCCTTACAATCATTCCAGTATTTCCTGAACTCAGTTTTCAGTCTGGTTGGGATCCGACAGGACCAAAACTCATCAGCACAACGGAGCCCAACAGCGTCCAGATCGTTCACTGTGTACAAATCTTCTATTGATTATGTCATTCCTAAAAAATCTGAAAATACAAAAAAAAAAAAAACAAAAAACAGCCCGCAAAAAAGACCAAAGTTGTTTGCAGCATCTTGTACTGGGAAAAGACTTATTAAAGAAAACTACATGACACATCGCTCTGTTTGCTTCTTTTGGGTGTTTGAGTGTTTGATTCCAGACTGAAGCAGTGGGGTCTCTCAACCTGAGGAACGGGACCCAATTCATGGTCGGGGGCCAACTGTGGCCCTCTTTTTTTAAGGTTCTAAGAAGACTTATAAAATACAGCTGACAGAGCTTCAGTCTCTGATCAGTTATTGAGTTCACTGTTTGTGTTCACTGATCATTAAAAGATAAAGATGTGAGGCAGAAGTGAAGCTTTTATTGTTTGTTTTGAGGTTTTTGATAAAGTCAAAACGGGAGAGTCTGTCTGGTTAAACTGCGTACTTACACCTTAATGGTGTGGCGCTCCCGCTGCTCTCAGCACTCCAGCTTAAACCTCCGGGTCCGTTCATTCACTGTCCTTTAGTTTCCAATTACTAAACAATTAATGGTTTAAATGAGCAGCGTGTTCTTCAGGGGAAACGCATTGATAATAAATTATAACAGCAATAAATTACTGTAAGTGTGACAGATAATTACTTTTTATTACAGTTCTATAACCTTTCTAATACTCACATTAAAATAATAATCCAATAATAACAGCACTCTGCTGTAAATGTATATTTGTATTATTAGCAGAGTTCACCTGTATTTATAGCGTCATTGCGTTGTTGGGTTTACAGTGTAAATATCTTTAAACATTAAAAAAAAGACAAGAAATACACAAGATTTTATGGATTTATGGTAAATGTAAATGGACCTGTACTTGTATAGCGCCTTTCTAGTCTCCGAGCACTCCAAAGCGCTTTTACACTTACGTGACACAGTTCACCCTTCACACACAAGTTCACACAGCGATGGCAAACTCCATCGAACAGAAACTTTAACTGCATTTTCATACACATTCACACATTCACACATTTATGTGGAATTAAAGCTAAAGACTGAATTTTAATTATAGAAAATTACTGTGTTTTCACGAGTCAGTTATTATTATTAGTTTTTTTTAGTGTTTATGCAGCTTTTCCCTCAGAAACATTCAGACACGCTCTGTTGACTTTAGCAGACTTTTATTTGTAGAAGCATCAGAAAGAAGGTTCTTTAAAGTCGACTCAGACCTTTGAGGATGCTTGTTTCCCCTCACAGACCCACAACCTTTAGGGCGACTGTGGTCAGAACGACAGCAGAAAGTAAAGATAATGAAGCCGGACGCAGAACAGAAACTCTCGTTCCCGATCTCTCGTTCAGCGCGCAGGAAAGGTTGAGGTTTGACTCCTCCTCCGGGGGTCGGACAGACGTGTGGTTGCGCTCAAATGGTCTCCTCGATGACCTTCGTGATGACTTTGGTAGTGGTGGTGGTGGTGGTGGAGGACGAGGAAGAGGACAGGTCTGAAGAGGATTTGACTGAAGATCTGAGAAAGACACGGAACAGGAAGTTAAAGCAAAAACACTACGAATTCTGCTTTTTATGGTTGTTAGCAGTGTTAAAAATGTAATCTGATTACAGTTACTAGTTACCTGTTGTAGTCAGTAACATAAAGTATCACAATATTATAGTTTTCTTCTTAGTAAATATAACATTTATGTATTTTTTGAAAATGTTTGAGTCATGAATCTGATAGTTTGAAAATGAAAATGCTGGATTTGTAAATATTAAATTATAAAATTTTTTTAAAAAGAAGAAAAGTACATTTAAAAAATGTTTATTTCAAAACTTACTTTGATTTTGACCTAAAATGCTAATGTTAATGGTTCACAGATGAAGTAAAATAAATGGAATTTAGAGATTATTATATAAAATAATTTCAATCAGACTTTGAAAATGGATTACCAGAAATGTTTTCCTCACTTGCCTCTCGGAGCTTCCGTACAGTTAGAAAAGCTTCAACCTGAAGTTATAATTTCCACTTTGTGTCTGAGAGCGTGTTAAAACAGTGACGTCTCACTCTGACGTGGTTTCAATCCGACTCTCTGCTCTTACCCGACTCCCTCTCCGTCCAGCAGCCTCCTGTACTCGGCGATCTCCATCTCCAGCCGGGTCTTGATGTCCAGCAGCATCTGGTACTCCTGTCCCTGCCGCTCCAGGTCGGCCCTCAGCTGCACCAGCTGCTCCTCCATGCCGCTCACCTGCATCTGGTACCCGCTCAACTGCATCCCGTAGCGGCTCTGGATGTCGGCCAGCGAGGCTTCAAGAGACATTTTCTGCAGGGAGGCAACAATAATAAACAACAACACATCAGGAGGCGTCCAGATAAACACAAGTACAGAATAAGTGCAGTAAAAACTAGATAACTAGCTAGCTAACGATTGATTGCCTGTGTTGTATCTCAGCCTCTCTGTGGTTTGGTTTTCCGATAGCCGGTCTCCTCCGATGAAAACTGCTGTTTTAATCCATTACGTCGGTGAATAGGATTTATTTTCCACCAAACCGAAGGTTGGTGATTGTTGGAAACACTTAACATAGGACGGCTTAAAATGAGTTTTATTTTGTCTTTTCTGCTCCAACTTTGGTTACGTTTAAAGATCTACAACCTAGGAGAGTTGAGCACGCCTGAGGTCGCTGTGGCCGTCTATAACAGCCGATCGACCTGTGGGCCACTTGGGTCGATCACGGCTGTAGCTAGTGGTATTCTGTTAATCATCGGAGACGATACGTGTAGTAAGAAATTGTTGTCAGTGAGAGCAGTCGACCCTCACCCGAGTGCGGTACTCGGTGAACTAGCTCTTGTCCCCAGGGATGAAGCGACGTCGTGTCTCCCACGTGGTGTGTTACCGGGTGTCCTGTTCGACGTGGGGGTTAGCGTGTCATTCCGCCGGCCGGGCGCTGGGCGTGTCGCCCCGAGCCCGGTCCGGCGTATTGGAGTGATTCTCGAGCTTGAGAGAGAAGGTGGGAGCTACGGAAAGAAGCAGCGCTCAACAAGAACGGTCAAGAAACGTGCATGTGGTGGTAGTGGGCGTCGTGGCCAAAATGGTGTTGTGTCCCCCCACCTTGGTCTGGTACCAGCTCTCCAGCTCTCTGCGGCTCTTGGCGGCGACGGCCTCGTAGTGTTCTCTGATCTCCTCCATGACCTTGGTGAGGTCGTCCTGAGGAGCAGCGTCCACCTCCACGTTCACCTGACCGGTCATCTGAGTTCTCATGGACAGCAGGTCCTGCAGGAGGAGGGAGGGCGGAGGACAGTTAGGTTTGACATTTTCTAAGTCCCGCCCCTTTTTGCTCTGTGCTCCAATCACAGTCGAGCTAGCCTCAGTCAACTTCCTGCTTACCTGTACTCAGATATGCTATATGCTAAGCTAATCAAAAGACAACCACATATTGAAGATGGTTTAAGGATAAAAGAGTCACATTCTTTAGATAATCGTCGGTACCTCCTCGTGGTTCTTCTTCATGGACACCAGCTCCTCCGACAGGCAGTCGATCTGCATGCTCAAGTCGGTTTTGGCCACGCCCAATTCTCCCAGCAGCATCTTCAGCCCGGAGATGTCGGCCTCCACCGACTGACGCATCGACAGCTCGTTCTCGAACCTGCACACAGTTTGTTACGATGTCGAGGGTCAGTAAGAGTCTGACCCTGCAGAGCCTGTCGACATTTATTAGCCTCCATAGAAACATCTGTACCCAAATGATATCAATAATTATATTAAATTTATATCACTGAAGTGTTTAAAACAAACTGAATAAACAGTAAATAAATAAAATAATTATTCAGAACAGAATCAAATTTAAGGTTTATAGAAAAAAGTGTTTTAAGTAAATTTAGTTTGTTTTATTTTTTATTTCTTAAAATGTTTCTTGAACTATAAAATCTTTTTTTCTCAGCTTTAAACATTTTTAATATTTTTTTCTTTTCTAATCATGTTATTTTTCTAATTAATCAATTTAATTTAAATTGTTGCAGTTGAATAATAATAAATCCTCCTGTTGTTTCCTTCAGCAGCCAGCAGAGGGCGTCCTGCTGCTGCTGATAACTGCTGATCAATCATTGTGCTGTTATTGATTATTGAAGTGTCTACAGCTTAAAGGGGAGTAATATTAAAAAAAGGTAAAGAAACAAACAAAGAAAAACAAACAAACAAACAAACAAACAAAGGTAAACAAAGAGTTACTGACTTCATTCTGAAGTCGTCCTGAGCCAGCTTTGCATTGTCGATGCTCAGCATGACGGTACCTTTGGTGATGATGGCGTCCTGGATCTGTAAACAAACAAACAACAAACAAAAAACAATGATGATGATGTCCGAGGACGGAGGAACGATCAGTTTATCGTTCGATCAATAACTAAATCTTCTGTCACATGACCAAAATCACTTCCTGTTGACCAAATAATGCTGTTTCTTTGCTGTCCACCATTTTATTTGTCTCATATAAACAGATTCATAAACATGTAAACACACAGAAAGTATGTTTGTGTCTCAGATAGATATAGAAACATTATTGTATTTGCGAACATATTAAAGTATAATAATTATATATAATATAATATATAATATAATAAAATATATAATAAGATTGTAAAGTAAAAATACATAAAAATAAAACACAAATACAGATAATAAATGGAAAATTAAAAATTAAAACATTGTATGAAGATAAAAGTAAGAAATATGTTTATGGATTTTATTTGTGTCTCCTGCAGCCAATCAGATTTCAGGTCATCATTTCACACCCACAGGAATCCGACCAATCACAGCGCGTCGTTTTATGACCCTAAAAACCTACCTGGATCACTTACACCTGGATCAGGTGTGGTCCACATCCATTCGATCACTGAGTTTATATGGAAGACGAGAGCTGCCAAAGTTGCAATATTTTTTTTGTCTAAAAAACCTTTTGATGTATTTTTGTCGATTTTGTCGAGTATTGATTAATCATCAATCATCATTGATTAATCAGTTGATTATTTTTTTATTTTATTTTTAAAAAAACACTCAAGGTCCACTTACTAGCTTTTTCCAGAGCTTTCAACTGATTGTTTTCAATTTGCAATGACATGAAACAGAAAAGCAGCAGATTCTTTTGGTGTTTTTTCTTCACTGGACGACTTTAAACTATTCATCTATTATCAGATTGTTGCTGAGTTTTTGGGCATGGCAGCCTCACCTGGATCACTTACACACAGGTGTGGTTGACCTATTTTTACACAGACATCCATCTGATCCCCGGGAGCCCTGATTCACGGCTCACTGCCTCAAATTACAGAACTTTGGTCCCGAACGTTGAGCTGCTTATGGAAGCCAAAAACTGCCAATAATTAATCCTCAAGTTCATGAGTTAATTATCTTATTATCTCTTCCTTTTGCAACATATTTGTCCCGTTATTGCAAGAAGAAAAATAATTGATTGTAATTCCGGCCACTTTTTAATGGTGTTTACTTACTGGTTCGATTTTGACTCGACTTTATTTGTTGTTTTTTTGTTAAGTTTGTGATTTTCTCTCACTTTGTTTTTTACGGAAGTTGAGAGTTGCCAAGATCAAAAGTAAATATTAGTTATATAGTTATAGTTTGAGAAAAATATTTATTAAATTTATTGAAATTCTGGCCACTTTTATTTTTCCTGTTTTTTTACTGATTCATTTAGATTTTGTATTTTCTTACTGGATTTTTTTTGTTGAGCTTTTTCTTATTTAACTTCTTTTCATTTTTACGGAAGCTGAGAGCTGCCGTGATCACAAATTAATTTTTGATTAACTTTTTAACTTTTGATTTTTGATTACTTTTATTCTGTGGTCACATTCTGAAAGGATGGACCAGAGCTAACCAACACCATTTCCCATGCTGCCCCTCTTCCTCACCTTGCCGTGCAGTTCTGTGATGGTGGCAAAGAAGGCGCTGTAGTCTCTGGTGCTGGGTCCGACCTTGCTCTCCACAAACCCCCTGATCTTCAGCTCCAGCTCACCATTGGCCTTCTCCAGTGCGGCCACCTTGGCCAGGTAGGTGGCCAGGCGGTCGTTCAGGTTCTGCATGGCGAACTTCTCGTTGCCGACGACACTGTCGTCCACCAACGCTCCTCCGCCGAAGCCTGCACCGCCACCGAACCCTGCACCACCACCGAAGCCTCCACCTGAACCAAACCCTGCACCTCCACCAGCTCCACCACCGAAGCCGTAGCCGCCACCACCACTGGCAGAGAAGCTCCTGCTGGCCTGGGAGACCCTAACGCCGCCGCCTCCTGCTCCTCCTGCCATGCTGTAGGAGCTCATGCCGCCATAGGATGCTCGCCCCAGGCCAATGCTGCCGCTCCCGCCGCCGCCCATCATGGAGCTCCGAGAGGAGTACATAACAGAAGTCATGGTGCTGATGAGGAGGAGTCTGTTTGTCTGTCTGCTCCGGTGGAGGGAGGAGAGGAGAGAAGTGAGGAGAGACGATCAGTTTCCTCCTTTTAAAGGTGCTCAGGTGGGCAGAGCTGCAGGTGAAGGGTGTGGTGGACCGGACACACCCCCCCCACATGAGGAATGAAACTGTGCTGAGGAGGATTTTGAAGTACTTGTACTTGACTGAAGTATTTTAATGCAGCTTTATACTTCTGCAGGACATTCAGAGGGAAATATTGTACTTTTACTGCAGTTGTTTCAGAAATATTGTAAGAATCTGATCCGTCTCATCTGTTTCGATAGACGACTGTGATGTTTGTACCGACTCTGCTGCTGCTCGGCTCAGATTTCACTGTCAGTGAAAAGAGTTTATACCTGAAACTCAACTCAGACCTAAAGGAGCTTTTGTTTGGTTTCAGTTGATAGTTTTAAATCTCATTTGAAGATTCATTTTTACAGTTTGACCTTTTTTAGGGACCGAGCCAGTGACCGCTGGTGGTCCCTATTGTATTTATATTGTATATTGTATTGTAACATTCAGGAAGATGTCAGAATAATCAGCAACTTCTGCGTTGTTTCGTTACGTTGCATTACTTTATGTTGCTTTACATTGTGCAACTTAACGTTGCTTTTCATACCTTTACGTTGCGTTGCGGTACTTTAGGTTATGTTACTTTACGTTGCATAAATTTGCATTGCAATACTTTATGTTGCAATACTTTACTTTATGTTATGTTACCTTGTGTTACTTTGTTCATTGCATTACTTGATGTTGCTTTGCATTGCTTAACTTTGCGTTACATTGCGTTACTTTATGTATGTGTTGATTGGTGCAGACGGTTTTATTTCATAAAATTTGAGGAAAAAACTGGTTTTATTAAGACTTCATTTCAGTACTTTTTTCACTTAAGATTTATTGATAACCTTTCTGCTGAGGTTGTACAGATTTTAGGGATATAAATAATTTCAAGATACTCCAAGAAATGCAGAAGCAGAAATACCAATGTAGGCACTGGAGGACCCTTTCTGCAGAGTTCAGAGGGTTAACTGAAGTAAAGCAGAAATATGATGGTGTACAAATACTTCATTAATACAATACTTAACTACCAAAACTAAAAGTACTCATGCATTACATATATTATATTATTGGATTATAATTATTAATGCATTCATGTGCTTTAATATTGCAGCTGGTGAATGTTTTTATTACTTAGTCTGCTCATACTTTAATATATAATCATCTTTTTTTAGTTGATATTTTGTTTTAATAATCTGAATCTGTAAAGTAAGTCAAACTGTAAAATAAAAGTAGTTTGCAGTATAAAGTACTTCTCCCCCTCCCCTCTAACACTTCGTTCCTGCTGGCATTGCAGTTTTCAGAGCTGACAGATAGGCCCCCTGGCACCGAGTGCTCACCTGTCTGACAGCGTCCTACCTCAGGTGCGCTGTGGGAAAACGCCCCCAGCTGACAGAGTCAGTTTGTTGTGTCGTCATGGTGACCCATGGTATGTGTGCTTTAGTGTTAACCATTTGAACCCTCGGTTTATGCTCCCTTTATTAATAGTACAGTGACCTGCAGTTACTGTCAGAATAAACTGTTCCGTACATGCAGAGACTCCTTTAAGTAAACAGTCGTGCAAAAAAACTAAGAACATTTACTTGAGTACTTTTGAGGTACTTTTTTATGCTCAAATCCACTACACTTCAGAGGCAAATATTACTTATTACTGCACTACAGAAAATAAAAAAGCTTCAGACTCACATGTGGAAGCTGTAAGTTACTCTCTATAACTGCATTTGAGATCATTTTGAGATCATTTTTTGGAGGGAGTTGGGGGGAGCTGTGAGGAGGAAGGGCCCTGCAGATGTAATGAACACTGTTATATCATCACTTGCTCGAACCCACCTTAAATATTTGGGCCGCAGCCAAAAAGAAAAAACAGAGAGCTGCTCTGCCACCCCTCTTTCCATATATCAACAGTGACAACCTGTCAGCATCTTAAACCGCCGTTAGACAGCTGACAGCAGGAGCCTCTCTGTAATTAAACTCATCATTTCACATTCAACAATCAAAGTCTAATTGATTCATTCATGGTTGCAGCTGTAAAAATGTTGGGTACTTTTCTTTACAACAATGTAGTGAAACTACAATATTTCCCTCTGACGTGTAGTTTAGTATAAGTAGAAAGTTGCATTAAATGTAAATTAAGTGTAATTGTGTCAAATCTTCTGTGTCTAATTTTTTGTCTAAAAAGAAAAAGTAATCTGGTTTTGATAGCATCTGTCTGTGTCTTAATAACATCTTCCAGCTGATACTGAGCTGGATTTAACCAGTAACAACAATGGTTGCATAATTTATCCCAGCAGCAAGACCAGATTTTGTCCTTATTTTAAGAATAACGAGCACTGGCACCAAAACCTTCTTCAGTCTTAAGAGAAAGTTCGTCTTGGTCTCAGTGTTGGAAATGAAGCAGCTGTTTGTTTTTCATTGTTTTAATAAAAAAAATTTTGGTACCTTCATTTTAACACAAAGTCACAGATTTTTACTCAATGGGTTTTCTTAATTTTCCCAGACTCTGCAGTTAATTGATGGCATTTGGTCAGCTGCCCATAAAGTATCAAGGTTTCGGATCCCGCCCTTGATCCTGCATTTAGTCAATAAGAGGGTCCCGAATAGAACCCCTGGGAGGACGCACAAAAGAGGAGTCTTTAATGATTATCTTTCTGTCATCAAAACGTAAAAGCCACATGAACTCTGAATAAAGCTATGTATGTTGGATGTGGAACTGTAAGCATTTTCAAAACACTGAGGAATCGTGGGGGATGTAGTAAGAGCGTTACTCTCATCTGAATTTGATCAAAACCAGATCAAAGTGTAAAGATGCAGGGATGGAAGCAGTGTGTTTTTGCTCTATAATTAGCTGTAAATATTAGCATGCTTGGCAACTGCTTACTGCCAGTAGTGTTCTTACAAGCTTGATGTTTCTTCTAGCGATGACGAGTATGACACAGGTGTCCAAGGAATAAGGACTCAGATTGCATAATTATTTGTCGTTTATCACCCTTATGACCAGTATTTGACGCAAAATTGCTCTTCTTCAGTTTTTTAAAACTAACTAAACTATTTACAGATTTTTCATGCAGCAGTATATGGAACAATAATAATAATTACACCTACATTTTTTTTTAAAGTTCACATGGACAGTAACTTACAATTTTCACGTTATTTTACATTGGACATGTAAATTTACAGACTAGAAAAAATCTGGAAAATAAATCTGGAAAACTCTGTAAACTTGCAGATATTTTTTACAGTGTAGATTCTGGATGCTATCAGAGTTTAAGCTAACGTTTGTGCTTCTGTGATTGTATTGGATTTATGGGAGTTTATACTCAACATTTCCACACGCTGCAGAACAAGTCTGATTGTAGCTTCAGGGCTAATGTGTTACCCTGCAATTAGTGCATATTTAAGATATTACAGAGTCCTCATTTTAAAACAAGCTTGAAACCATAAAAGTTCAGCCAGACATTGAGTTTTCACTCAACTTATGGAGACAAAACTGCAGAAAATAAGCAGAATAAAAAGCTCAGAGTCAGAGTGATCTGTGGGTTAAGGATCTGATTCGGGCCACTCTCGCCTGCAGTTAAAGTATGCGTGTTCAGGTTTAATAAATAACCCCTGTGTGTGTGAGCGTTAATCTGTTCACTGGCAGCACTGTGACTTCTGATCTGAGCAATGAAAAGATCTGATTGATGGGCAGCGATCTGCTGTCACATGTACCAGCTTCCACCCTGCAGCCAGCGCAGCACTGATCCCTGAGTGATGGGAGTGAAATGTGAGTTCATGTGTCTCTACACGTACGAGTGCAGGTACATTCCTGTTTTATTATTTATATATGGACTTTTATACCTGCAGGTAGATGCTGCTGGCTAACTCTGCTCCGGGTTTAAATTGATTAAAAGAAAAGTTTCAGTGATGTTCACAGGGGGAGTTTAAACACTGCTAGCTTTATCTAATGACTGCTAAAGCTCCTGTGCCTCCACTGTAAACACCGACCGGTGCTTTGCTCGAGGGCTCAGCAGAATCAGGTTGCATTACTCTTCAGGTTTTGCAGCTCGTTTCTCTCCACTGGTTTCTGGTGACTTTTCAACCTCCGAACTGTGACCACACCTCAGCTCTGAATGAAGCTTAAGCTGTATAAACCATCTGCCAATCAACTCTAACAATGAGTTCACTTTCCCTCCGAAATCTAAAGCAACACTGAGACTTTCCGCAGCTCTTAGAGATTGATTGATTGATTATGTAACTCAATCGTCCTGTAAACAGCCTGAATGTGGTCCAACCTGATGTTGTTATTTGCTCGAATTCACTGCACAATAACTTTCTCTTGTTCGGAGCCTCGTTCACCTGCTGGGAGACCCAGTGGAGATTCTCAATACGGCGCTGTTAATCTACAGTTCAGTCACACAGGGACCCCAGAGACCACATCAGAATCATAGGGGACAGACTAGTGCTGACCCAAAGCCACTGGATATGAAACCTGCAGGGCTGGAGGACATTTAGTGCAGCAGATTATTCATTTTAATTTTACATAGAACAATCTGAGAGCTGACTGTGCAGGCGCTCGTTATCTCAAGGAAAAGGTAGAAAAAAAGTAAAGTAAAAATAATCAATCTATAAAAGAATATGAAGAATCCAAACTGACAGTTGAATAATAACTGCTTCTGTAGCTGATCAGGAGTCCAGAGAGGATCATTAGTAGTGATCTGATGCTGAGCAGTGATTGGCTGATGTTGGCCGTATGGTGACCTCTCAGCAGTAACAGATGAATCTGACATTTACTGTTATTATTGATTGTCACCTCTCCACCGCCTCAGGCGGGGGCAGTCCTCCTCATGTTATATTACCCTGCTCATAAATCAGATGGCTTTCAGGGTCTGACGGCGAGCTGCTGAGGGCTGATTCCTCTCTGAGCTGCACGACTGTACTCACACTGCTGAGTGTTTTACAGCCAGATAACTGACAACAGAGGTCACATCAATCTGCTGCTGCAGAGAGGTCACCATACAGGTAACTGCCAGTCACTGCTCAGCATCAGATCACTCCTAATGATCCTCTCTGGACTCCTGATCCGCTACAGAACCACTTCCATCCAACGTCTTCTGATGTACCTGAAGAGTTCTCGATGTGTTTTGATGCCGATGAACGCTTAAGCTCATAAAACTTGTTTTTACTGTCGATGAAACTTCAGTTTGGATTCTTCGCAGCCAATTATTTCTGAGAAAAAGCAGTAAAATCACAGGTAATACCTGCAGGGTTGTAAAATGATTTATACATTTAATATGGAAGCTACGGAAGCCGAAAACGGACGAGGTTGTAGTTTTTATTTAAAGA